ACTAAGTTAAGTAGTGCCAATGTTATTGCCAAATAATCAGGCACATAGTTGAAATGTAACAATTGCTCTGGTCCGTAAGGGTATACAGGTACCAGAGCTAAAGTGTGCTGAAAAATAGACCTACTTTTAACATGTTTTGAGGTTGTTGTTTTTTTTTACTCTATGGTGAATGTTTCACTTCCTGCCTTACAATAACAAATTTGTCCCTACAAGAGTGTTTATTTATATACCTGACAATACAGTATTGGGTGGATAACAGTGTTTTAAAGCACACCAGAGTTATCTTTGTATAAACGGGGTCCAAACGGAAAATCGTGAGGGTAGTAAAGAGATGATTATTTTGGCTTGGATACCAGCCAGTGAAACATCTTGTTGCTACAGCCCCAGAAATATGTACGCAATCAGTGTATATCGTCCACTGAATATTCAGTTACTAGATACATTTAGCCTGTAAGCTGTGAATCATTTTAATATTCTGGAGCATATTATTTATGTTACAGCTGAGGTATAGGTTCACACCAATGTGGTTGCCTCACATATTATGTTTAAGTAAAGCAAATGCTTGTATTCTATACTGCCTTTCTTTAACCTATGACTAAAACCATTGCACAGGTAAATATAGATTGTTTTTTGCCATGAATGTTAGCTTTATTTCAGGAAGGACGGGCAGATTTGATTTCCCAATTGCTTCTTAAGAAAATGTCTATGAAGTATTGAGACTGTAGCACACCAGAGGTGGCAAATGCTGCCAAATGCACGCATTACCTGTTCAGCACTGGCATTAATTATATGATAAAGTTTACTTGTGTTCTCTTAACATATGTTGTCAGAGATCACCACCATGTTTACGCAGACGTGTCAAAAGACTGTTTCTCTAATCTGTTTTCACCTTTTTGTTTGCTGCTATTCACACGTGTGTCATGATCAAGTGTTTCCAGAACAGAGTTTTACCAGTAGGTGGATAAACTCATACAGTTTACAATATACACTTTGGGTCAAAGTGGGTTGAAGGAAAAATGAACGTGCATATTCTCGTATGTCACAGATGTATATATTCCTTCAGATTGAATCGTGTCACGTTCAAAGCGATTTTGGCACATTTTACGGGAACAGAAACTATTTTAAAGGAGA